CCATCCATTCACCTGAAAGAAGCACAGAACATTCTTCCTCAATACAGGTGGAAAGCACTCCAGCATGATGAATCCGAGGTGAAAGGACAACTACTATCCTTTCCTTTCTAACACATCCTCAAAGCTTCAGTCCAAACATCTATCACAAAACAGATTTCCTGAAGCCTCCTAAACTGGGTAATGAATATTTTCCAAAGCAGAGATATTCTCCCACTCTCCCACACATTCACTACAGCTGGATAGCTCAGTTCTTGAACACCACCTTAGTCTCAATACCAACAACTCTGTTTTCACTGCAGGCATCCCTCTTCGTTACCTGGATTAACATCTTGCGCAGGAAAGGCATGACAAAAGCAGGGTTCATGCTGCTCAGGCGACCCACAGTACAGATGGCCAGCTCTCGGATTTCAAACACTTGATCATTCAGGGCCACAAAAAGAGCTTGCAAATTTTCTGCCTGGGCAAGGTGAGCATCAAATCGTTCATCCAGAGAAGCCAACACACAGAAACGTATATCAGGGTCTGCAAGAACACATTTGTTTCTCTTTAAATGCTGTAAACTTCTGTTGTTATTATTGCCCTTATTCACAAACCAGCCTCAAAAATTGTTCACAACCACAGGGAAACGCTGAGAGCTTTCTCACCATAAGACACTACATCAGTGAGAGCAGACACTACACATGAGAAACAGGGTAAGCCAGCCCAACAGATTCAGTGCTGCTCAGTACAGTCCCAATACCCAGATCAGTACAATGTTAACCTTTTCAATGTTAACCTTTTGCCAAGTGGCACGTTTGGTGGCACTGTGCAGAAAATGAACTAGTTTCAGGTCACCTTATTGCAACTGAAAGATTAAAAAAAATCAAGTACAAAGATTCAACAGAAGGGACCAACTCCTTCCCAAATTACAAAGTTGAAGGCTACGGCACAGAACTATAGCAAAAGAAGTCTCAGAGCTCTACACAGTTCAAAGGATTGCCAAGGGCACAGTTTGAGCATTTTACACTAGTGTTCTATTCATACCTCAAAAATCAAGATCTGGGAAGAGAAATTGGGAGACATTTTTAATTTGTAAAGAACGACAGCTTCAGTCAGTGGCAAACATGTTCAAATTCCACCACAGCCTTAATATCATGACCTGCTCACGTGCTAAAATGAACACGTGGCAGGAGAACTCTTTTGTCTGAACCCCACACTAACCTGGGTCGGTGATTCCAACAACAAGCAGTTTGCTGAGAACATCAGCCACAACCTGCACTGCTGTCTGACTGACCACATGGGCATGACCACTGATCAAGTGGATGGAAGGAGTGAGCAAGCGAGAGCAAGTGCGGGCTGCTTCCATCCGGATCTCTTTATGTTCGCTGTTCAGAAAGTGGTCTGCACAGTGCCGAACAAACTGAGTCAGAGAGTGGCCTAGAAAGAAGAAGATGAGGAGCTTAACACAGGTTTATACCTCAATTACTGGTCTTATGAAGGAAGAGGAGATGAAAGAAAGTGCCTTCAGAGTTTTCCTGCTACTTGTACTCTAGTTCAACGCAGTAGTGTTTATATCCCATATCCCTTGGCCCCCTGCTTCTTTATTTCATCTTACCTTCAAACTCAAAGCTACCCAGTGTACGAAGGGCAAGGGTGATGCTACCCACGTCACTGGCCTCTGGGATGTTGGTGAGGCTAGGGGAGGCAAGCTGATGGGCAAGGCCCTTTGGCATGCCTGGATGTCGCAGAGGCTTGTGCATTAAAACAAGGGAGAGCATTTTCAGGAGCCCATCCTGGATATCCTTCTTTAGCTGGGGGATCTGACGACTCAAGTCATACAGCACAGCTGTTAGAGCAGGGCTGAGGGCAAGAAGCAGGCAGATGGTAATTAGAACAAAAACAATATGAGGTGTATATTCCAACCTTTGTGTTCATGCCTTTGCCCATCAGAAGTTAACTGTGGGCATTCACACATCACAGTAACACCTGCCAGCAGAGCATAGGGGACCTCGTGTGAACTCAGGCACAGGAGATGACCTTCCTGTATGCATCTGGTGAGCAAACTGCTGGGTCTGCAGCACGCTGCTACATTAGGAAATATTGCTAGAACACTGTCACAAATCTAAGTGATTCCTTACACCTGTTCTTTTTAGACACAACGGCAACTAGATTTCCTTCCGGATAGAAATATTAATATAATCTAAAGAACTCTGTGCTACCTAAATACTTTCTCCACGCCCTCCCATACTAACAGCTTCATAAGCTAGGAAATTTCCAACAGGAACTGTCAGCTCCAAAGGTGAAAGCTAGGAGCAAATATTCAGTGCTTCCAGTTCTCCTTCCCTGCCAATTTGATATGGCAGAAATTTGCTGGCCTTCAAAGGCTTTCTAAATTTCTGCAGGCTGTTGCCAAATGTGCTTGAATAGTGGAAAGGAAAGGAGATTGCTTTTTAATTCACTAGTTGTTCTACAATAAGATTTCTTTACAGAGACCAATGCTCTTAACTCAACAGACACATTAACACTTAAAACATACCATTCTTCCCAAAGAGCTACACTGATCTTCTAAAAGGTCATTTAAAAGCAATAATCTTCTTTCTCAATCTGAAGACTTTCAAGGTCGTCTTCTATATGGCCAACAATGCCATCCAGTGGCTAGGAGAAAAACATGCTCCTGTGCCTTGTACTTACCTCAGGCCCACAGCCAGCATAGGTTCCAAAAGCTCTTTGATATCCTGCTGGATACTGGGTCCCATGGCTCGTGCCAGCATACTAATGCAGGTGAAGACTGTGGCATCAACCTGCACAGACTTCTGCCTCCTGGAAAGGGACCACATAAAAGTTAATTGAGAGGAGCTGCTATTTTTCAAACATCTTTCCTCATTCCACTTCTGTATTACCAGTCTTACTGAAATACTTATGATTTTAATACACTAGTTCGATCCCACATCACAAAAATCATATAAAGAACAGGTGTTTCAGTTTCTTCCTCTAACCTTCATACACTTACTTGTGGGCAAAGTCCTTTGGTGGAAGAGCTGCTTTTATGATTTCAAGGACTTTCGGCAGGTAAGCTTGAAACTCAGACCTCACAGCCACAGAAAGCAAACCCAAGGCCTGAAAGGCTGCTGTTCGCTCCTTTTCTTTCTTCACACAGCTGAGAACGTGATTCATGGTGTCTGGAAGATACTGATCAGCTGCTCACAAGAAAGAACAACACAGATATTGGAACTCGTTCAGATTTATGCAGTCACACCACATTTGCATCTAAACCTTTAGAAGTATAAAACTAGAGAACAGACACAGCCATACAAAGTTTCCTGACTTGAGCAGTGTCAAACACATGTCACCATGTAAGACAATTTTCATAGCCCAGAAGGCTTTCTTTTAAAAATAAAAAAATAAATATAATCAAAATATAGGAGCTATGAGGAAAAAAAAACACCCAATCACAATGCAATAGGTTCTATACACAAATAAGATCCAAGTACCTTGTTTTTATAGTGATTGATTGGAAATTTGTAATAATAACACAAAGTTTGTTCCAACCCACTTAGAGCAGCTTGGTGACTTGCCTCCAACTCTGATGCTCTCCTAAGCTTGCTCGATAAATCAACTGAACTGCTTTAAAGCCAACAGGTATTTCCCATTTTTACTTGATATTTCCTGGCACACGCAACAAGGAAAGATGAAGACAACTCTGCTAATAACATTTGGGTTACATTGAGTGGGAGCAAGAGAGCAGAGTTCAACCTTAAGTCTGACATACGGAGAAAAGAAACAAAGAGGAGGTTCTGTCTCTTACAGTATTGATCAAAGAATCCAGACAATAGTTTTCATCTATTTTCTTCATCAGAGCAGCTTTTGGCATCAGATATCAAGCCACACTTATTCAGAAGAAAAATACTGTCCTCCCACAGAGGAATTTGCTCATCTTACAAGCACCACATTTGTACTGCTGCATTGCCTGCACAAGCTCATCTGAACCAAAGACAGCTGGGGTAACTTCCAGCCCAATTTCAGCAACACTTCTAACATCCAACCATCTGTCTTGTCACCTGTGAAGGCTGAAGGACGGAAAGCCGCCAACCGTGGTAGCAGATTGAGAACTGTCATCTGGATCAAAGAATTCTTGCTAGTTCTGCACTTGAGAACCCACTGGCATACCTGAAAGGAGATAAATTGGGATTTGAAGGATGGCCATCGGCAGTATCGCACAAGTGTTTATTACCTGTGTAAGGCAGTCTACTGACTTTGACTTCGGAGTCCATGAGAAAGATGGATAATTAAGATTGCTTCCAAAGGAAGTAAATCTCTTGCTTTAAGAGAGACAGTGACAAAGCCAGGATACATATAATTAATGAGTTTTGAAGCCTCAATTCAATACTAGGCAGTATCGTCTGCTAGGAAAGGACACAGAGGAAAATTGCTCTTCAAGAACCAGTGTTGTGAATATTGGTAGACAAGTTGAAGACCAAACACTTACTTGATCAAACTTCTCTTCCATTAGATCCCTACAGCATCGACTTTCTACCAATGTAGACTTTGCTGGGACAGGTGAGGTTGAGAAACCCATGATTCCTTGGTGGGCACTGTACCCCAGAAGACCAGCCAAAGCATTTGACTGAGAGGGCTGAAGAGACTGGAAGCTAGTGAAGGGAGTGATGTGGCGAGGTTTGGTACTGAAGCCCATCAGGTCTTTGCAGTACTTGTCATGCACAAGCTGCTGCTGAGTGATCTCTTCCATCTCCTCTCTAAGGCGCTAGACGAAGTAGAAAAGCATGTTTAAAAAAAAGAAATTGCTGAATAAGAGATTTCCAACACAGTGCTACCCAAATCTCCCAAGCAGCATCCTATGTAATTGACATTCGAATGGCTGTAAAACATCAACTAGGCAAAACATGCAACAGGGAGTCCTCACTCTATATCAAAGTCTTTTTCATTGCAATTAATCCAGTTAATAGCACTTTCCAGAGACTAATACCCACTCTGTCCAAACTTTTCACTGTTATTTCTCTACACACTTCAATTTGTAATAAGCAATGCTCTGCTCCAAGTTCAGATGACTTTTCAGCCAACAACCTCATTTCAAACACAATGGGGTATGTCCACAGATCGCCAAGATGTCACACATTGTCAATCAATCTGGCAAGCAAAAGCCACAATCCTCACCTTGTTCATTTGCTTACCTCTCCCTCCATACTGCTGATTCTCACTAGCTCATTGAGGATCAGTAAGGCACCATGGATTCGGTCATCACGGTTCATTCCTTTCTCTTTGGCCAAAGTCTCATCAAAGCCCTTCTCAGCCTCTTCATACGTATGCTTGAGAGAAAAGAAAAAAAGATCTCAGTGATCCTGCAGAAACAAAGTCTGTGGAAATAGAGTGGTACTGCCACTCAAGAGTTACTGATGTCCTGTAATTTTCCAAGAGTAGCCACAAATCATCACTGAGTAATAACAGAGTATAACGCCACAAAATTCAGATTCACCCAGACGTTGCGGACTCTGCTGCAGAGCATTTTCAACAGCACTAATCAAACAGCCAGTCAACCATGTCACGGCATAAACTTCATCAACATCTTCATCACATATTGACTATGAGGAATCCGAGTTCACAACATTTGAATACACTGCCCAAACCTTATTTGATATACGAAGCTTGAATTCATGTGACAATAGCAGCAAAGCTAAGGTTCAGACAAAAGAATCCTTATCTTTTTCACTCATGTTTTATCTACATTAATGAAACCATCTGCTAGTAAGAGATGACAATAGATAGATGATTGCATAGCTGTAAAACTAGGTCAGGCTCAACAGCTGAAAAGAAGCTGCAGATAGACTAATGGATTCTTGATGGAATTGAGTCTCTTGCTTACTTTTACAGAGGGCTAAAGGAACTACTCATTTTGTAAGTCATTACATTTTCAACCCTTTCAAGGGGAGGCAGCTTTCTCCTGACAATCAGACATACTGACAAAGGTGACACAGGTTCCTAACTCAGACAGTTCTTCTAACAACTGGCACTTGAACGTTTGCATTGCATTATGAGGAGCTGCTTCAAAACAAAGTTTTCTTACTCTGTACCACTGGGGCTTCTGCATCTCTTTTGGCTCCCGCTGGGTGGTGAGGATAAGGCAGGCTCTTAAGGCAGAAACAGCTCCCTCTCGGATGGCCTGTTTGGGATCCCACACAGCCACAAATATATTATCAAAGAACGGCTGTACTTGCTGGAAGAAGAAGGTAGGCACACTGATTGCCAGCTCACGCAAGACAAGAACCTGGAGGTGGGGAAGAGAAACAGTAACAATCTGTGAGGATGAGCACCCATAGACAAACCTCATAAACGATGCTACGGTGTAGAAGTTATTTAGACTGTTAATATCTGTGAGCATGAGCTATCTCCAGCTTCACATTTCTACAGTTCCTAGCACAATGGTGTCTCAACCTTCTTTAGTCACTGGGCTAAGGTAGAAGCAACAAAGCAGCACTATATCTGCCACGAGAGCATCACAGATTCTCAGACATGGGCTGGCAGCTATTCTGATCCTGATAAGAGCTTTTCCACAGCTTTCTGTGCACATCTCCTACTAATCCTAACCATTCCGTTCCGAGACAGGTGAAAACAAAAAAAGATTACTTACAGCTGCATGTCTTCGACCTTCATTCCTGTCAGCTCCCAGCCATTCCAGAGCTCGTTTCACCTCAAACTCCACATACTCAGCTGTGAAGGTGTCACCAGCCATTGCAAGCCGCCCAATAGCCTTGGAGGCCATCTCCATTACAACAGGGTCATTGGATGGCAAGAGGTTCCTCAGGTAGTTGGCAAACCTGCCAATACGGGTGGCATTACCTCCTTCAACACCGATAAGGCTTGCTGTAGAGAAAGAGAGCAATGTTGTAGGTTCTCCCTAAAAGTCAGTGAGGCAGTAGATAATCCCTGGATGAGAGTTAGGATTCCCTATCTATTCCTTAAAGATTCCCATTAATTCCTCCTAAACTGAAAAAGCACAGAAAAAAAAATAAATCAAGCAATAGGAAAGGGCCACCATTCTTTCAAACCTGAACTTGTTAGGAGGGCAGGAAAATGTGTCCAGTAGCTTCATAGACTTTTTTCCCCCATTTTTAGTTTAAAAAGAAAAAAAATCCACCCCTGGATTACAGACCCATTCCCAATAGAAAGGTATCCATCCACATGCAACTTCTGCAGCTGATCCATCTCAGTAGAGAAGTCAAAGCCCAAATGGAGCAAGGAAATTGCTCTCCCCCTCAGCCCTAGAGATGGTCTCTCCTGGCCAGGGTGGAGGCACCTCGGCGGGCGGCAGCGTGGCAGAAGCTTCCACTGCTGATGCCTGGGTTGTACCTGCTCTGTAGGTAAAGAGGCCATCAGTGGCCAGGGTTGTCAAGCCGGCACCTTTCAACAGCACTAAACTCACAGAAACAATTTTAAAGTGATACTGTCAGCTTAAAATTAGATGTTGCCAGCAGAGATTTCTCTAGCTAAGGGACTTTCGCCGTCTTCAAACACGTTGGGATTGGATGATTACGTCTCTGACCCTAAACCATAAGCAGCTCCTCTTTGGTTATTAAAGAAGTAACTACTACAATACAGGCTACTCACTTGGAAGGCAAACATTTATCCAAGCTGATTTCCCTGAGAGTCAAGATATAGGCAGTTCTGCCACATCACAGCGAAAGCACGACTAGAGCAACTGATGGAGCAGCTGATCAGAATCAAAGCACAAGCTAAGGGAGCCCCTCCCAGGGATGGAAGCTGCTGTTACTGAGCTAGGTAAATTTGAATAACAAGAATCAATCTCCTCAGACAGACAAGAGTTGAGAAAGTGAGCCCACCCTGATACACATAAATGGACAGAACAAACTGTTCTCAGCTGAGCTCAAGAACAGAATTTTCACATGCTCAGCACTCACATTTGATGCTCGACTCCCAGAAGAGCTCAGGGCCCATTAAGCACCAGGTTTTCAGCCACTCTCAGCACTCAGCAGCTCCCATGCTGACACTTACAGACAGATTTTCAGAGACCAACTAGCATGCACCCAGCATACTGAGCAGTCAGACATAAGGCCCTAATTATAAAAGCTCATTCCTTTTGAAAAATCTGTGCCTAAAGATAGATGCATGAAGAGAAAACTCACCAGAGGCATTAAGCGTTTCCACTCACCTATAGCCAGAATGCCACCCTTCCTTTCATTTGCATCAGAACTAGACACCAGCTCAAATATGTGATGGTTCAGCTGATCGTAAAACCTGGTAGATTCTTCCTGACTCATCTGTAAAACCAAAAAGTTCAAATCAGCTTTCAGCATTCTTTCCCTTATTCCTATCCCCAAAACCTCCATAAAGACGATGCTTCTTAAGTGACTTAAGCAGAAAGAAATTAAATCAACCATATATCACAAACACAAAACAGCACCTCTTCTCTGTGCCCTAGACATGTCCAGCTTATTCTGGTGCTTGACTACCCATCTGTGTCACCAGCTCACTCACCTCTCCTACATGCTGGGACAAAGCTAAATTCCCTGTTGTGGCCCGCCTCCTCTCTAAGACCAGCTTCCATATCCCCAAAATCTCCATCCCCAAAGTACTCAGCCAGTGCCCTACACTCATAAACAAGGATAAATTATCTCGTTTGCAGCACTCACTTCACGGAGCTCCATGGTGACATAATGCTGCAAGTCCTTGGCCGCTTTCGCCCTCGTCTCTTCACTGCGGCTCTTCAAGCCGTTGGCAAACTGTTGGAGAATGGACACGGTGCCCGACATGATGGTGGTACGTCGGGGCTCGGGGGCATCAAGTCCTGTAAGTTCTTCAAAGAGACACTTTTTTTTACTGCTTTCATCTATTGCAGTCTCCAAGCTTCTTTCTTAACGCCGCCTGTTTCCAAAACACACATCCCATTGCATGCCAGGAGGCTGTGCCAGTAGAGCATAAAATATAAATAAAGACTATATTCCTTAGGCCATACAACCCCGTAATAAAACTGTATCACCACATAATACCTTGACACTCAGCCTATTTGCTCTCTAGTTCCTCAAATACCAAAATATGCTCCAGGAGGTCAGGCGCCCGACCCCATGGTGATCTAATTCTAAATCAAGGGTCACACGACAGCTGAAAACCAGCAGGGTCAGACGCAATTAGCCTACCATAATTAGCCACAATCATTCCCACAATTGTATCATTATCGAATCAGACTCCTCCTTGAACACTTTCACCCAAGTTTCTCCACAAAAATTCTAGTGTTACAGCAACACAAGGAAGCCTCAGCACTCAGGGCCGGGCAAGTGTTACATTCTCCAGCAGACATTTAGGGATGGGAATTCTACTTATAGCAACACCAATCATTGCAACAGGATGTTTACTACCATAATATGTCACCAAACTTTCTCACGAGTCTTTCCGTGGAAAACATTTCAGAGGTTTGAACCCCTCGATTTTAAGATTATGTAAGCCCAAACCGAGCACTTGACAGAAGGGCCCACAGCGACGCCAGGCACCACAACTTCAACTCCTTCTTCCTTAAATATTCCCCGCGCGTTCGCAAAGATCCGCCGAGGTTACGGCGTGAGGTGGCTTCGGGGCTCCCCGCGGCTGAGAGCCGAGAGAAGACGAA